AATGTACTTTAGAGGAATAAATTTAGAAAAATGGGCATTTAAGGTATATTAAGTGAGATATTAAGTGAGATATTAAGTGAGAAAAATGTGTCAAATCAATAATACAAAGTGGTGGTTAGCTGATTTTTATGAAAATATTGCCATAAAATTCAAGGCATATACCTGCCTTAAATATGTAGTTTCAGTTTTGTGTTCAGCAGGGTTGCCTATATTTAAAAATCATTTTGATTAATTTGCTGAAAACAGACCTTGGGACATACAGTGATGGAAAAAAGTATTTGCACAACACGTTTTTATGAAAAAAGTAGTTCAAGGAAACAAATAACTTCGCTTTCCTTTGCAAAAATGAAAAGTAAATTTATTAAAAACTGAAAAAACCTTTTTACAAAAAAATAAAAACACTTCATAATCAACCAAAATAATTAAAACAATAAAAGTGCTTGGAAAAAAGTATTTGCACACTTCAACATTTACAAGTTTATTTTAAATTTTAATAGTTTTAATATTTTTTAAATAGACCATTTGCGTCAATAATTGCTTGTAGACGTCTGGGCATTGAATTCATTAGGTTTTTAATTAAATCTACGTTTATTTGTTCTCATTCTTGAACAAGAAGTTGTTTAAGGTGATTTCCACTAGTGATATGGTGTTTTCTTACATTTTGCCATACATTTTTAATGATATTTATGTCTGGTGACTGAGGAGGAGTGTGAAGCTGTCTTGGAAAATTAAATATTAACCACTCTTTTGTTCTCCTCGCAGTATGTTTTGGATCGTTGTCCTTCTGAAAATAGTACTGATCCTGGATTCCCATTTTTTCGGCACTAACACCCAAATTACATCGCAAAATGTTCACATAGCCTTCCGCATTTAAAATGCCTTTGATGCTCACAAGATTTCCCACGCCATGGTAGGAAACACACACCTAAACCATAACATGTCCTCCACCATGCTTTACAGTTGTTAAAACATTTTACTTCTTTAGAGTTTCATTACAATGTCGCCATATCATCCTTCAACCATCTGAACCAAATAAATTAAATTTGCTTTCGTCAGAAAATATGACATTTTCCCAAAAGCTTAAGGGTTTCTGTACGTACTCCCTAGCAAAAGCAAGGCGCTTTTTGCGATTCGTTTCACTGATGTATGGCTTCTTTCTTGGAACTCTACCATGGAGCCCTTTCGAATTCAGGACATATCTAATTGTTCTGCTAGTAATCTGAACTCCAGACGTTGATTGGACTATGGTAGCCAGCTCCCGAGAACTTATCAGAGGATTTTTAAGAGCTTCTTTTCTGATTTTCCTCTTCAGCCTGGGAGTTAACTTTTTTTGACGCCCTTTACGCTCACTGTTTTCAGTTGAACCATGTTCATCATACCTTTTTATGACATATCTCAATGTAGAAAAATTCAACCCTAAGAAATCGGCAATTTGGCGATATGTTTTTTGCTGACTCCTGAGTAACACAATTTTTTCGCGAGTTGCGGCACACAGTTCACTTGTCTTTGGCATGATAATTGTCTATTGACTAAAGAAAAATGATTGAAAGACTAGAGAATACTGGTAATTAATGATTAGAGATAAATTAGTAAACAAACCTATGACCTATGGACACAGGAGGATTAATACCAAAGTAAACAGAGCTTGTGAGTCATAGTGTGCAAATACTTTTTTCCAAACACTTTTATTGTTTTAATTATTTTGTTTCATTATGGAGTGTTGTCATTTTTTTCCAAAAGGTTTTTCTCAGGTTTTAACATATGTACTTTTCATTTTTGCAGAGGAAAGCGAAGTTTTTTGGTTCCTTGAACTCATTTATTCATAAAAACATGATGTGCAAATACTTTTTTCCATCACTGTACATTGTGTGTTTGGAATTACTGACATACGGTTGTGAATTCTGGGTGCTAAAGATAGTCGATGAACAGAAGATCATAGTTTTCAAAAGAAGAATTCTCAGATGAATTTATGGGCCCATAATAAAAATTGGCACCTGGAGAATAAGGCACAAGCAGGAACTGTACGAAAACTATAAGGATGTCCCAGCATTAAATTTATCCGGATCAGCAGGCTTTGTTAGGCTGGTCATGTGGAAAGGATGGCTGAAGATAGCATTCCTAAGAGTATAATGAACCATGCACTAGTGGGAAAAAGAAAAGAAGGAAGACCCCAGACAACATGGTTAGACCAGGTTGGAAGGGGTGCGATGGCAAGGGATAGAGACCGGTGGGGACAGTTTCTTCTGTAGGCCAGGACTCGGACTGGACTGTAGAGCTGAAGATGTATGTATGTAAAAGCACTGGATGAATGGATGAATACCTCGGCAAAATTTGAAGTTAATATTATGTTACTCTTTCTCCTTATGAAATCATGAATTATAGCATCTATATACTTAACATCTATATTTTATTTACTTGTAATTCAACATTGAAATTTTGTACGGATATACAAATATCAAATATATGTTATATATATATATATATATATATATATATATATATGTGTGTGTGTGAAAGTCTAATATGATGTTTAAATAAATTTTTTAAAAAATCAATAATTTTTGCTTTTGGCCTAGTCATACATGAAATGAAAACACATTTAAAATGATTTAAAATATGCTGTTAACTATCGATTGAGTACCATTGGTTGTATATCTATGAGCATTTAAGTTAGGAGATTTAATCTAAAGCAATTCCTGTATTTTTAAAAACCAATATAAAAAAAATATTCAAGTAAAAAGTTGAAAAAAAAAATCATATAAATTTGAGACATTGCAGTTAAGACCTCAGGAGATTTCATACAGAATGTGACCCCATCGTATGTTGTGTGTATTTATTCACTTTAACTATGTTTAATACATATCACTGTAGTTTTCTCAGAATATATATATATATATATATATATATATATATATATATATATATATATGAGTGGCTTTAAAACAATGATGGACATCTGTCTATTCAAACTGTTTCTGATGACTTTGTTTTAAAATATTCTAGGTGTTCATTAGAAACAAAATCCTAAGAATCAGATATAATTGATACTATGTAAGAAACATTGTTTTTTTTTTTAACTTTTTAAAAATGATAGATACCTGTCATATGAAGCATTCATACATCATTTAATTGGATAAAATAATTTTACATTTATTATTTAGTTGTAGGTAACAAAATTAATAAAACAAAACAAAACTATTTAACAAGTAATTAATAAATAACATTCAATTTACTTATATATAGTAATATATAACATTATTAGAAGTTGGTAAAAATGGTTTAGTGAATTAATGTTGAACAGTTAAAAGGCAAGCTAATCTAATTCTGCTAATTTCAGGAGATGTTTAAATTAGAAAAATAGTTTCACTAGTTCAAGAAAAAAAATGGCTGCTCTGGAGGTTCCTCAAAGAAGGAATGACTGCTAGAGGATGAACAAAGGAGTACAGTTGTTTTTAGGTATGATGAAGAAAGCCGGTGAGAAGGGATCCTGGCTCCAATGGATAAAACCCATTAACAGTGATACCACATTAACAGAATAATTGCAGTGCCACCAATGAAGATAGAATTGTTTTAAAAGTTAGCTTGCCAATATATGCGACTTTAGTAACAAATGAAAATAGTATTATGTGTAAACAGTTTTTAGTTTTCTAACATTTTTGATCTGATTAGCAGTATCCATACCTTTAGATAAAACAATTATGACGTTCAGTATGATATATTAATATTTTTGTTTTTAATTTAACAACCTCTTATTTCTTTTGGAAGTATTGCTACAATATGAAGTGATCTTCTGAAGTTACATTATTAGTAAAAAAAAAAAGGACATATTACAATATATATATATATATATATATATAGATATATATATATATATATATATATATCATTCAAAAATGTATCTGTTATTTCCCTTGTGAAGTTATAGCTAACATTTCATCAAATGCTACATAAAATTCCATTTGAAAGAAATGAAGAAGAATTAAAAAACAATGCATGGAGTATGCCAGACACTGAAAAATACTGTTAGCAGTAGAGATGGACTTCGGAGAAGGGCAGCAAGAAAATCCAGAAGGGAACAAATCAAAAATGAAAGAATTATGGAAATGATGTAGGTGGAAACAAACATTATAGCAAATATAGAAAAGAAAAGGTTTTGATGGTTTGGGCATGTGGAAAGAATGACATCTGAAAGATTTCCAAAGATATGGATGGAATTGAAAGTAGAAGGGAGAAGGAAAAAGGGAATACCAAAGGTAAAATGGAAAGATTCGGTGGAAGAAAGCCTAGCAGATCATGGCATCAGAGAAGAATAAGCCCTAGACAGAGAAGGATGGAAAAATATCTAAAAGGATATTTAGATCAAGGATGACCACAGTAGTGAAAAAGTCATTACTAAAAAAAAATTCATGGATTACAGATTGGATTTATGAATCAAAGCATTTTAACATCAGTCAAAAATGTTTTATTCATTCAGTGGATAACATGTTATAAGTACTTCAACAGCAGTAATATTTTGATTTTAATTACTTAAATAACTATTAATATCATCAGGTTTTATGCAGAATGTCTCAGTTTGAAATTAGGGTCTCATTTTAATAACAGGGATACAATAAATCTCATTGTATTTGAAGATAAATACAATTTCTGATACAGAAAAATTCAAAATTTGATAAAACAATTATACATTTATTACTTTTTAGTAGAGAACAAACTAAATCCCAAAAAAAAAACAACTTTTTAACAAGTAATTAATATCCCACATTCAATTTAGTTATTTTTGTGTTAGAAATATATAGAAATGGTATAAAATAATTAATATACAATGGTAAATTTTTTATTTTAGTAAAAATAATTTGGTAATATTTCAAAATAAATCTCAATTATAATATTAAAAAGAAAAGTTGATTGAACATGATAGTTTAAAACAAACAAGAAAAAATTACATCAGATTAATAATGAATTACTTCATATTTATATCAGGGATAATTGTTTATTTTAATTTATCCAGTGCGAGATGAAAATACATCAGGAGGATTGTCCACCTCTTCAGAAACTCTTGTAGAAAGTAATGAACGCATTTCACAGGTTGCTAATGATTTTAATTCACCCTAAAAAATTATTACACTGTCTATATTATTAAATTTTAAAATTATATAAGTATAACAAATAGAAGGAAAAGATTTTTAAAATTATTTTAAGAAAAAAAAAGTTGTGTCAGAAGTGGGATTCGAACCCACGCCCTCATAGAGGACCAGAAGCCTCAAACCTGAATGACAGGCAAGGTGAACCTTGAGTCTGGCGCCTTAGACCGCTCGGCCATCCTGACAGCTTGCACAATAACGGCAACTCTTAGTACTTAAACCACAGTTTCTACAAATTAATTGTTTTAATCTATTTAAATAATTAATATGAACAGCTACAATCCTATGACCTAATTTAATTTAGTCTTTTTATCCTCCACGATATTAAGTTTTTTAAATTAATATAATAAAAGCACTGTAGTATTAAAATACAGTAACCAGAAGCAGATTGCATATACATAGTGCAAGTTGCACCATAAAAAATTTTGGCGTATTTTTATAGTCTTATGGATTTTTGAGGGGTGACAAACTTATGGAGTAATGAATTTTCAGGAGAACTTTCAAAATAGAGAACAAGGGGAAAATGTAATAGATCGCAGCAATAATGAATAATCAGCAATGTTAATCCTTTTATTTTTACTGGCACCATTTCTAAGAAAGCAGAATTATAAAAATTTCTTTAAAGGGGGGCCAAATTCATGGTTCTTGGGGGGAGAGAGGGGGTACCATTGGAGGTGACAAAATGACCTGAATATGTGAAACTAAGATAAAATAAATGAAACAGATTTTTAAAATAAAAATCTATGGACTATATTTTAAATGGTTTATTTTAACATTTATTCATCCATTTCATTCTAAAGCATTAATGATGATGAATAATAACAAAACAATATAATCATAAATCTCAGTCTTATTTATATTCTTTTCTGATAAATTACTAAAAAAAAAAAAAGAGCTATATCAAATTAAAATACAACTAATTATGTTACTTTTTTGAGGGTTTATTTATTGTCAAATTTCAATTAAACCGGACCTGTGATTCAATAATGCTTAAAATATTGTATAAAATATAGTAGGAGACAGACTTCTATGCCACTACAAAAAATGAATATTCATCTAGTGATTGGAAACATCTGCTCTCAGGATTGCCAGGGGAATGGATTTCAACCCTTGACACTTTCCTGTTAACCCAATAAGAAACTTTATTCCAAATAATAATTATATAGTCAAAAGCAAACATTTTTGATTAGTTAGATCAACTCTAAGAAAATTCAAGGATTTCAATAAATAGATGGATAGAAATAATCTTTATTCTGGGAAAAGATCTCTTAAGAACAACAAGCTTGTAGAAATAAACATTTGGCCAAAAACTATGTTTTCAGAAAATCATAAAAGACATACAATGAAAATACATAAACAACAAAAAAATAAGTCTTTTCAGGAATAAGTATAACTTTAATGAAAGGGAAAAAATAAGAGAACAGAAAAAGCAAAACCTGAAGAAAGAAAAAGATAGATACTAGTTTCCTATAATTTATTCTAATAAATCATATTTAAATTTTAATTATTTCAACTAGCATGATGTTCATCTTATCATACACACATATATATATCATATGAAAACCGTAATTTACTAAAAACCATAAGCTTCAATAGGTTTGAATCTTTAACAATTAACTTACTAATAACATTTGGCAGATAGCAGCTGCAGATTTAATTGACATTTGGCTGCATTCTGATACTGATCTTTTCCCAGCGTTCCAGTCCCTTGAAAAGGTAACCTATAAATGGTTGAAATAAAATAATTAAACAGAATAATTAAAATTTCCAGCACTATTGTACATTTTTTCAGTTACCTGTGCATAAGAATTGGCAATTTCTTGAAAAAGAATAAAAGTTGCAAATATAACAGCATAGCTGGCTGCTATTTTTCTGCTAGAAGAGACATGAGAAACATATGTATTAGAATTAAATATGCTAAAAGTGGTATCTGATATATGTATGATATATGATTAATAGAATAGCTTTCATTTCAACATGAAAAGTTCATTTTGTAAAATATATATTCAAAGAAGTATGTATATATATATATATATATATATATATATATATATATATATATATATATATATATTAGAATATAATAAAATATGTTTGATACTGTTTAAAATAAAATGGATACTTTTTTGTTAATTTCTTAAATATGTTTCTCTACCACCCACAAGAATAACTGAATACCAATTTAAATTTCGGCAGGGGATAAAATAAAATAAATTTGAGATTCCTTTTCTTTTTAAGCACTTTAAAGGCCAAATACATATTTCTCAAAAATAGTTCAATCTATCTTTGTCCTAATTTTGAAGAATGTCATGATAAACAAATCAGTTATTTTTAATTTTTTTTTTCTCCAGTGGTGTATAATTATCTTCTTTCTGATGTTTTTTCCTCACCTGAAATGGGACTTCTCCAGAGAGACAACATATTGTCTCTACTTGATCAGTTTTATGTAGATGACAATGAAATATCAAGAAGATAAATATAATACACTATAGAAAAAAAAAAGAAAGGATGACTTGTAAAACAACGTAGGCAAAGGGTTTTAAATTGTTAAAATAATCATTTCAATCAACAATGTTTATGGAATGAATATACTTTACTGTTTCAGAAAATCTATCAGAAATATTTCAGTTATCTATGGCAGTTTTAGAATTTAGTGCATCATTAGAATTCCGTAAAAAATATATAAATAAATAAAAATGACACCATTCTCAAGCATAACAATATCAGAGAACAACAAAAAAGATTAATTCGCCAGCCCAAGAGGGAACCAAAATTATTGAATTGATCCTCCAGCAAAATTCAAACAGTTTAGAAAATGTTAGCAATGTTAAATAAGCAGAACACCCATACCACCACTTAAGATGCACATATGTATAAATCTATATCACAATAACCCATAAAGGTACAAGGAAGAAGGCATTGTTTGAACAATAGTTAAACAAGATGGGATGGTCAGCATTCACTCATTACTGCCTGGTTTATTCTCCCTCTTTCCCTCCCTTCCAACTAAAAGCACCCATGTTACAGGACCAGTGCTTGTCATAGGAGAGTCTCCCAATCCCAGAGTCAAATGTTTGCTAGTACTAGTGAATCCTTAGATAATTTATATCTTTTACTCAACTATCCCAACCTGATATCAATTCGGTCCAGAAATAGAATAACAAATTCACGACTAGTTAGGACCATGAATTTATTTCAACTAAGTCATCAATTTAATCCAAAGAAATCTTAACACCGAAATTATTCTATTTTCTTAAAATTTTAGCAAATGAATTTCAAATGGAACATTAAGGATTCGATAATTATAACGATACTGACAACTGTATTGATAGAACCGTTATGTCTTACCCGTCCATGTCTGGATGTGGATCTGATGAAGAATTCCCTGGAGTCTCTCTTTATATACGACTCCGACGCCCTCTTCAAAGGAAAAAACAAACAGGGAAAGAGAGCATGTTGATTGGACATCGGTCACACGAAAATCAAAACCAGAAATTGATTCTATTTGCTGACTGTCCTGGGTGATACTCCTTGGTCCTTCTTTGAAGTCGACATATCCAATATTGACTGTGGAATTTTCGTGTATACGATTTCAACGAGAGAGGTTTCCACTTTTTTTTAATCCTTCTATCCTACCAATATACTATCTATTATTAGCATTTTATTATTATTTTTCCATTTAACCGTTTCTGGTTTTCCTGTCAATAAATTAATAATTGTAATCGCATTTTTTTTTTTAATTCGGAGGGTTACATTCGCTTAAAATTATATAAATCAATAAATATAACATGATAATAGTTAATGAACGATGGACAATAAGATTATTTTTAAGAATGCCAACTTAGAGCTTAATTCAAAAGGTCTGGAGACATAAAATAATTTAATTCGTTTTACTTTTTAAATTTTGATTTATTCAAATTAAAAAAATGTATATATATACACATGATTTGTTTAAAATCTTTACTGTAATTGAGATGCCTCAGACAGCCTATGCATCGATTATCATTGACAGTTAACAGAAGGACTTGTAATCAAGTCTGGGAAGAAATGTAGCCTTTGACGGATTTATTATTTTTTTTTTTTGAAGCCTCCACTAAGTTTGCTTGCTATGGCTTGTGATGACATAAATATCGATGGTAAAAACCAGGTGTCTCAAAATCACGACCAGCTGAAGTTTCCTTGATTACACAGTCATTTTTTAAAAATTATTTACAAGACATAAAAATGAAAATAAAATGCGATAATAGGTGTCGATTACAACAGTGAATCGAAGTTTTGGAACGATAAGAATAACAATACTAGAGAACGTATTGTGGAAGCTTTCATAACCTCTCAAAATTTAATTTTGATTAATAAAAGATTTAATTTAACGACGTTTGAGAATGCGAGGGAAAAAAGTACGCTCGTATTCCTTCGGTTCCTCAATTACAACTATTTTCCGTTACGATCTCTTATTTATAAAATTCTTTCATATTTACCATTTTTTTTGGTGTGAATGTATTCATATCTCAATATAATTATTGTCCAAGTGACACTTTATTATTTTTCTAAATAAATAAAAAAAAAATTTTTTTATATTAGAGATGAATGTGAAATGGTCAATTGTTTCAAATAAAAAAAAATTAAAGGTACTTTAGGGGAAGCTAATAATTAGCCATTTAGGCCCTGTAAGAGAACATCAATCAGAATAAAACCTACATTTTATTTAAAACTGCTTAAATTTACACTAATGTAATGAATTTAATCAAAATCGTTAAAGCCGTTTTCGAGAAAATCGTAAAAATGTTTTTAGTCCATTATACAAAGTACCACTTCCGGTAAGCTGATTTTGACAAATAAGTTGCTGTAATATCCCAAGTATATAAAAACCGTATATGCAATTTCACTTTCGAACGACTTTCCATTTTTGAGCTAGACTATTACCATACTCAAACACACACACACACACAGACCATTTCGCGGGACTTACCATATTTCGACTCAGGGGACCTCAAAACATGAATTTCCGTTGAAAACTCAGATTCGAAAATTTTCACTATCGCAATAATCACCCTTTCTATATATTTTATATATAGTTAAGTGAAAGTAAAAATTCCCCATCATAAAGAGGCTCACCGATTTGTGTACCAACAAATCTCCTCTCAATTATTTGAATGCCTCTCCTTGTGAACGCTGGAAGGTTAAGATACAAGCCTGACGAAACCATTAATATGTTACTGCAACAACAGCATAAGTCGAAAGAAATAATTTTTTTGCATTAACATTTTCATATTTGGCCCGCTGCTCACAGTATTCGTCATTTCTTTAAAATATCTAATCACCAAGTTTTAATCGAGTGTATAAATTGCGAATACAGCGCTCATTAATAACATAACGTTTTCTTTGAAATTTAACCGGAACCATGTTGACATATTACAATCATATCAGTGGAAATGGAAACAAAGGGTTAAGACTCTGTATTCTATTTCAAAACTGAATTCTCTGTATACATAATGGAACTAAGCGATAATAAAGTGGATTAATGTTCTCATAATATGAGCTTCACTATTTCTCACCTTAGACGGACAATATTATTGAATCAATAATATTAAAGAAATATTCTTGAACGTTGTATAAATAGTACAAATGGCAATATAATTGTTATAATATATCCCTCAGACGGTCAATATATTCGATATTGACAATGTAACGTGTGTGCACAGCACCGCCGTTGCCCGGCAACCTCATACATAGATAACCCGGATAAAAATAATGGTGAATAAAAACGGTGCTGGGGAAGTCTTTTAAATCCCCGCACTCATCCCCTGGGCCTGAAAAACCCCGTATAGCCTTAAAGACGAGGAAGGGAAGGATCCAACAAAAAAAAAAAAAAAACACCGAGAGAAAACTTTTTACAGCCAGAAAAGCCAAATTTTTTCCGATCTTTTTTTGTTTTTTCACCCACCACTCCTAAACAGTTCATCAGAGCGAAAAACATACTCGTTAAAAAATGTAAGAACTTTAAATTATGCGTCAAACGAGTGCCTAAACCTAATACGTCAATGGACGATAATCTCGGTCAACAAACCCTGATTTTGTTTTACCAAATTTGTCAAAAATTGGGACAAATTACCTGATATAAATGGATCTGCAGCTTGGAAGTGAGTTTCCTAAAAGTAAAACTGAGAATAAAAGTTGTAGAGCGTCAAATTCACCGTCCACTGATAACAAACAGTTTTAATGTTGATCAATTTGATCTTTCGAATTAGAAATCGTTATTTCTTCATGAAATTCGGTTTCATCGGACACCTCGTTTTTAAAATCCTTCGTTGCTGAGAGGCAGAAAAGAGTCATATACTGTATATAGTAGACTGTAAACAATAATAGTTCAGTAGAATAGACAACCATACTGCTCAAATAGTTAAAATCTCGATACTTTCATTACCAACTTCTAGCCAACGCTATTTACTACCGATTACAAGCAGAGTAAATGACCTGCATTAAAACTGTAGGTCTTCAGTGGACGCAGAACATTTGCGCTACACCTTTTTTTCTGTTAGAAATCTCATTTATAATAATTTGTTTCAGCTTTTTACAAATATAGTAAAAATCAACGTTCTTTGACTTTGATTATCGACCATAGCACTTAACCAAAGTATTAGATTTAGGCACTCGTTTGACGCATAATTTAACGTTATTAAATTTCTTAACGAGTACGTTCGCTCTGATGAACTGTTTAGGAGTTATAGGTGAAAAAAATTAAAAAACATTGAAAAAATTTGGCTTTTCTGGCTGTAAAAAGTTTTCTCTTGGGTGGCCCACGTTGTAATTTTGTTTTTTACTAGATTAATTCCATACATATAAATTAAAAAATATATAATCTTTTCCCACATTTTA